GGCCAAAAATGGTCGATTTTTGATCAAAATGCATGGGCTATAGCCCACCAAAATGGACAAAAATGGTCGATTTTTGATCAAAATGCATGGGCTATAGCCCACCAAAAAGGCCAAAAATGGTCGATTTTTGATCAAAATGCATGGGCTATAGCCCACCAAAATGGCCAAAAATGGTCGATTTTTGATCAAAATGCATGGGCTATAGCCCACCAAAAAGGCCAAAAATGGTCGATTTTTGATCAAAATGCATGGGCTATAGCCCACCAAAATGGCCAAAAATGGTCGATTTTTGATCAAAATGCATGGGCTATAGCCCACCAAAATGGCCAAAAATGGTCGATTTTTGATCAAAATGCATGGGCTATAGCCCACCAAAATGGCCAAAAATGGTCGATTTTTGATCAAAATGCATGGGCTATAGCCCACCAAAATGGCCAAAAATGGTCGATTTTTGATCAAAATGCATGGGCTATAGCCCACCAAAATGGCCAAAAATGGTCGATTTTTGATCAAAATGCATGGGCTATAGCCCACCAAAATGGCCAAAAATGGTCGATTTTTGATCAAAATGCATGGGCTATAGCCCACCAAAATGGCCAAAAATGGTCGATTTTTGATCAAAATGCATGGGCTATAGCCCACCAAAATGGCCAAAAATGGTCGATTTTTGATCAAAATGCATGGGCTATAGCCCACCAAAATGGCCAAAAATGGTCGATTTTTGATCAAAATGCATGGGCTATAGCCCACCAAAATGGCCAAAAATGGTCGATTTTTGATCAAAATGCATGGGCTATAGCCCACCAAAATGGCCAAAAATGACCGATTTTTGATCAAAATGCATGGGCTTTAGCCCACCAAAATGGCCAAAATTGGTCGATTTTTGATCAAAATGCATGGGCTTTAGCCCACCAAAATGGCCAAAAATGGTCGATTTTTGATCAAAATGTATGGTCTATAGACCACCAAAATGGCCAAAAATGGTCGATTTTTGATCAAAATGCATGGGCTATAGACCACCAAAATGGCCAAAAATGGTCGATTTTTGATCAAAATGCATGGGCTTTAGCTCACCAAAATGGCAAAAATGCCCGAAAAAATTTAGAATTTATGAAAGAAAATATATCTGTGATCTTTCTGTGTATTCTTCTTGATAAAATTTGAAAATCCAAGTATGTATTTTTGCCTTTGAAGAGTTGGAATTGAGAATCAGAATAAACTGGTGATCACAAGTAGCCCAAGTTAGACATTTTTGTAATTTTTAGAAATATTTAATATATCACAAAAATAAACATCTCTATATGTGCATTGTGTTTTTCTTTACATTTCTGTTAAATTTCAGGCCATTTCCTTCAATTTTGAGTGATTTGTTTCTGTGGTTTTGATTATTCTTATGAAGGCTATTGAAGTAAAAGCTATTGTTGAAGAGTTCCAGGGTTTCGTAGAGCAAAATCCGATATATATTTTAAAGCTCTTTGCTTTTCTAATGACCGATAAACCTATATATTCCTTCAAAAAATGCCGTATTTGTGCTCTTTTTCGTCCTCTTCATTTATAACATATCAAAAGGTCTAATCTAAGACATCTAAGCAAATGTCACCCGATGTATGATATGGAGAAATTCATTTTCACACCTTAAAAAGACACCACCAGCACATTCATTTCCTTGCCCTAGATTCCCTAGCCTCCATGATTCTTCATCATATTTTTCGCACAGTATTGCTTAATCATTTTTTAGTAGTTCAGTAAGAAGACGTCTTTGAGATTTTTCCAATGCTTTAATTTGTGAAAAACAACTATAATTGATTGCATTAAGTTTACAACCTTTTGAGTGTTAAATCCTATAAACCATTAGCTATATTAATGACTGATTATATTTATCACCATGTACTCAAGTCTAATAATTAACAAACCAAACTAAAATAGCGATCAAAAACTTTCAAGGCGAAAGTAACGCAAGTTGTTTAGCTGCAAGGAATCTTGTTTCTATGTCACATGCTACCGTCCCAATTTCGCCGTTTGAGAGTACGATCAGGCCGTACAAAAGAGAGCAGTTGCCAATGCTGTCGGTCTGCATTGAACATATCCTGATTTCAATACTTTTAGACGATGTTATGTGAAAGCTAAAAATACTAGATCGTACATTAATTATTACTAAACTTGTTAAGTGCTGTCCTAAGTAGTCTCCTCGCAGCCGTTCTTGTTGGCGGGCTCCCTGTCCCCCGCAACTAAGAACGGCTGCCAGGAGACTATCCTAAGTACGTATCAAAAACCGTTTTCCGATCCTGTTCTGTAAGGAAACCTTGTTAATCACAATGCACTATGAGCGCTGTAAGGATCCTAAGACCTTTACGGGGATTGATGACAATGTATGGAAAATTAGTTTATGTTTCAATTTATTTAGGTAGTCTAAACCATTATTTTGTGGTTGCCATAGTGCATCGCGATCCTCTAGACCTGAAGGCTGATTTACACTTCAATTATGCTAGATATCCAAATCAAAAAATCATTTGTAAGAATAGTGAAAAATAATTTTAATATTTGAAACCTTCTGAGAGTTGACAAACTATTTGTGTCTATTTTCGAGCAACTGACAAATAATTCTAAATAGAGGAAAATGTCAAAATGATTTGCCAACACGATTAGGAAATTGGCATATTAAATTGAAAAGTTCATTAAAGAAGATTATTAAAAAAACATTAACACCGGCCATCAGTTAATAATCCGTTATAGATTAATAATAATCCGTTATAGATTAATAATAATCCGTTATAGATTAATAATAATCCGTTATAGATTAATAATAATCCGTTATAGATTAGTTGAATCGAGCTCATATGCTGCCCTACTCAGTACGTTTTTATTATTCAACAACAACATTGGTCAACGTGGTCGACTAAGAGCAATAAGAGAGCACTATGACGACTATTGAGTTGTTGAATTATTAAGACTGATAGTACCTGTGCTTCTTGACATCTATCCTGGAGTATTAATTAACACAAATATGTGAGTTTCATAAAATAATCTATTATGCGACAGTAGTGTTAGTGAAGTGTAAGCCAGCCTGTAAGGCATATGATTTAACAACGTCGAAGGCAGGCGCGTTTTAATCTGTAGTGCCTGAGGCTGAAGCATCTTAATCTACATCGACTATACAGCAGACGACATCGTCTTGTATGCTTTCTAAACTTTATCCTGGCTCCAAGAATGCAATATTTGTTTCTGCATCTAATTTTACAAACTTTGTAGCGGATCCCAAATAATCGACGTGCTTGATATAAGCACCTTGAATACCGTGAACAAGTTCGTATCAATCTCCTCCTAGGCATCGGATCTAGAAAATGAAAGCATATTGTGACGTTATCCTACTGAAAGACAATGTTTTGATACAGTTAGTCTCGATAATTTTTAACGTTACTTTTCTTGACTTGGGTTTTAGTAACCATTAGACACTAGCTAGCCACATCCATTTTTTCGATGTAAGCGCTGAATACTCCATTTTTGAATTCCAAGCGACTATAACCACTGTTTTATTTGACAGCATGGATTCTCTTACGAAAAGATTTCACCAAACACAAATGAAATCACGACTAGAATGTTGTTAGTAAAATAGCGCAAACAATTTATTTTCCCCGAGTTGAGGCTAACCCTGTATTCCCAGAAGGCTACTTAGCTTAGGTCTTATGGGAAGTCTCTCTTTTGTGTTTGGTCAGGTCTTTGCGCAAGAGAATCTGTTGTCAAATAAAGCAGCGGTTTTGCGCTATGAACTCAAAACTGGAGATTATACGAGTGAAGTTGTCTTCCCTTTTTTCCCTCCGCCTCGGTTAATATATATTTGACATATCAGCCGATTTTCGATGACGTAGCCTGATCTTTTTAAGCCACGCATGACGTCGTGAGAAATCGAAAAATAAAAAGCTGTCAAAAATTGTTTTTCCTATATCTTTTATTTCAAATCTGTCCCACATACCACGAGTATACCACGATTTAACAGTCTATATACTACCAAAACTGACTAGACTCGGGGTCTAGTTATTGCCCGCCTTCCGAAATTCAAAAAGAGACTGGTGACTAGTCACAAACTCGATACTGTTTAAAGCAATCAAAAAACAGACACCAGGACAAGAAAGAGCATACTAAAATTAGTAAAGCTGCCGGGTTTGAGAGAGTTCAGATTAATAAAATTGCAGAGTTTCAATCTTTTATAACTCGAAAAAATTACAAAGAATGTATGGAGCAGCGTCCCCAAAAACTGATACATTCCCTAATTTTTACAAATTCGAAAAATTCCTACTCGGTGAGTATTCAACCAAACATGCTCAAACTTGACAAGAACACTTATTTTAGTGTGGTCTTTCATGTGTTGAGGTTCAGTTTTCGATGAATGTAATATTTTCACACTCGTTCAAAGTCTCCTTTTGAATTTCGGAATGGCCAATTAATCACTAAATTGTGATCGTTTGAGATGCGACATTAACTAACTGAACAACTGCAGTGATGATGTCAGGATAGAATATTAGTAACTTGACGCTCTTAGAGCGTGAAGTCGGTCTAGCTAGTTTTTGGTGCGTGTATAGAGGCGAACGAGTGAAAGATTTTAAACACGATAAGCTTATGATGTAATATTCTGATTATCATATAATTATATATGAAAGTAAATTATGGCGTAGAATACCTTTCACTAGTTTTTTAATCGATTAATGTGCGCAACAACTTCAAGAATCGAATAATGAATTGAATAATGGTGTTTTGAGGGGGCGCGCTTCATGTCTTTTGACTGTCAATGAAAAAAATCGGAAAATTGTGATAATTTGACAAAACTACACCAACTTATATATTATCGTACCATTTTCGACAGGATTCTCGTCCTCTTGCGCTTCGTCCTCGCTTTCTTCAGCTGTAAAGAGAAGCAGAAATATTCTAATAAAAGCACTCCAAAATTACATTTGGATCAGTTTATTAAGCTTGATACTGATTTTGCCTGTAAATTTTAGATGTGGTAAACTGAAAAAAAGGGAAATTTGATGAATTTGGAAAAACACGTTTTTACCTTTGCCTTAATGATTGTTTCATATTTTCATCAGTATTTTTGAATGAATAAACAATATCAATTATATACGCGATAAACAATGAAAAACCAGGACTGGGTCGTCGGACAAACTTCTATATTAAGATTGATGACTTCACGAGGCTTTATAAATCTTACCATTCTTGTCTAGATCCTCGTCATTTTGAATTTCATCGGTTTCTGAAAACAAACGGAACAATTTGTTCTTACTGCTGATTTTTAGTGTTAAATTTACTTTTGATTAATTTCAGAGGTGCTTTGATCAAATATTAGTCGACATCATTTTTTTTCCCGAATAATAATAATAACTAATCAAAATATTTAAATAGATAAACTGCGACCCACAAGCACTTGGATAGGGTGTGGTTTGTACAACTATATGCACTTGGCGGCATGTATCAAATCAAAATGCATGTTAGTCTATATTTCTAAATTATTTTATAGTTATAACATGAAAAACGACATACCAGGAGCTTCGACGTCTTCGAGGAGGTTTTCATCAGCTGGATTGTCTTCAAGATTATCAGCAGCAGGAGCAGACATGCAGAAGGCAACGAGGCCAACCAGCACCAAGAGGCTAAGGTACAACTTCATGTTTGCAGCTCTTCCAAGTCAAAGTGATGAACTCACTAAAATGCACTGATATTTATGCCTGATTAAGAATACAATTATTACGTATTGTTATGAACTTGGACGTAGTTCTGAGTCACTAAGCATGAAGCTCTGACTTCTCTAGATCAAAGACATACGGGTTGGTGGCATCTATTGATATGTATTTCCCGCTATTAAATTATCTAATGTCTCTGTAACAAAAACAGGAGTTTATTTTGTTCATAAATTATTTCAATCGTAGKTTATMAGCTATAGGTTATCRTTAGTTTTGCATATTGTGATCTTTYTGTCATTTAAGTGTTGTATTTTAACAGTGATCATAGTTTTATAAAGTCTCGCATTTTCACAGATCAGTCACCGACATTATATGCGATCACTGACCCATGTAYMWMAAMA